TATATATATATATATATATATATATATATATATCTGAAAAACGCTATTTTAGGCAAATTTTTCTTACCCTTTCCTACTCAAAATTCTTTGCTCTCTCTTTTTTGTTCTCCTAAAAACGTTAATGTTAATCAGTGTTTATGTCAACTCCGCGTTAAACTTTTAATAAAATTACCAAATAAAGATTTTAAAGTCATTAAATTTCGTTCTTAAAATATTCTAATTGTATCAAACTGCATTATTTACAACAAATTGTTTATTTCATTTCATATAACAGTTCTTCAAATCCGCTAAGAAATAATCAAAAAAAAAAAAAAGAATTACAAGGAATTACTAGAAGTTTGATTGACAAATGTTATAAGATTATTCAAAATCTGCAAACAAATATGCTAAATTCTTCTTCTTTTCTGCAAATACTGACATTTATTCTTACTTACTGAAAAAAAATTGCTAACATTTTCCGAAAAGCATTCTTCTGGTGTTTATTTTTCTTTTTCATTATTCGCCGTTCCCTTCATTGTTTCATCGGGATAAAAATTTGAAGAATCCTAATACCGTCCTGTACCGCCAAATGTCACCCGGCAAAAGACAATCAAAATTTACAGGGGTTCCAAACAATGCCACTGAAGGAACGGTTCTTTTTCCGCACTCGTACTTTACTACACTTTTGCTGCATTCGCTGCAGGCATCAGGAGTTACAGTTTCACCAAAGTTTCGTATTTTTTGACCCACTAACTTTTGGTCCTTCACCTGTTACACCTTAACTCTTCATAGCGCCTGTTACTTAGCTGTTATGTAAATAACAAAGTTCACAGCAATTCATCGTACAAATTACTCGCTATGACCGCAACATACCGCACAAAGTTTCTACTGTTATTCTCAGAGAACATTACAAGAATACAGTCCGACCAATTTGAATGACCATTAATTCCGACCGTAGAAACTGTTAATCAATCTGCTTCACAGATAAAATTTTCAGCGTTATTGCCTCGGCACCCTCTTCTGAGTATCAAAGTTTATCTTAATTTCTGCAAAAAAAAAA